AGAACTGCCCCATAGGGTTTCCAAGGAGCAGCTGGTGGATATGAACTGCCAACCTTTTGGTTAGCAGCCAAGCTCGTAACCACTCCACCACAAGGGCTCCAAATTTTCTAATAATCATATTAAAAAAGTAAAAGATTTGCAAGCAGCCATCCAAGGTACAACAATTGGTCCTATTCACCTGGAGCAACAGAGGAAGAAGGAGAATCAGGAATAAGAGGAGGATATGGAATGCGTGGCTAACTGCCTCCGTGAACAACTGCCTCCTTTGCCTTGAGATCAAAAGAACTGGATGGTGTCTGGCTACGATTACTGAACATTTTGATCAAAGAATCCAGAAGATTCCTCATCAAAAGGGGGAAAATGCAGAACAGAATTTCAAATTCTCATGGACTCCAGACTTTCTGGAGCCATGGAGGGTGGATGAACTCCTGAAACTATTGCCCTGATATAATCTTTACACCTTAAACCAAAATTATCCCCTCAAGTCTTCTTAAAACTGAACAACAGTTTAGCTTAACTAGTAGAAAGGTCTGCCTTGAGCGCTATCGTAGTTATCTAGTGCTGCTATCACAGAAATACAAGGGGATGGCTAGAACAAACAGAAATTTATTTTCTCACAGTTTAGGAGGCTAGAAGTCCAAATTCAGAGCACCAGCTCTAGGGAAAGTCTCTCTCTCTGTCGGCTCTAGAGGAAGGTTCTTGTCTCTTCGGCTTCTATTTCCTGGTTCCCTAGAGATCCCCGTGTGGCTTAGAATTTATCTTACACCATCTGTGCTCATTGGCTTGTTTATTCTCTTTTATATCTTAAGATACACCCTACACTAACCCAATCTCATTAACATAACAAAGACAACCCATTCCCAAACGGGATTATAACCACAGGAATAGAGGTTAAGATTTATAACACGTTTTGGGGGGATACAATTCAATCTATAACAAGCATTATGCTCTTTTAATAACTATTCACATGAGATCAAACTGACAACCAATCCAAACCCGCTGCTGCTGAGTCAATTCCGATTTACAGCAACCCTACAGGACAGAGTAGAACTGCCTTATAGGGTTTTCAAGGAGCTGCTGGTGGATTCGAACTGCTGACCTTTTGGTTAGCAGCCAAGCTCTTAACGACTGTGCCAAAAGGGCTCAAAATTGACAACAGCAACTGAAAAGATTAGATGAGAACCTTAGGTAGCAGTGAGTTTATGTTAATGAGAGAGGAACAACTCAGAAAAGAAGGGTAGGAATGGGTACAACAACTCCAAGAATGCAATCAATTTAACAAAATTGTACATGTAGAAACTACTGAATTGGTATATGTTTTGCTGTGTACATTCTCAACAATAAATAAAATTCAGGGAAAAAAAGTAAAAGAAATTGGCAAAAATCATTTCAGTATTTCAGTTAACCCAATATATCCAAAATATTTTAACAATTAAAAAAAAGATACTCTTTTTCTTCTGCTAAGTCTTCATAATCAGTATGTGTTTCATATTCATAGCACATCCCCATTGAGACCAACTACATTTTAAGTGCTCAACAGCCACACGTGACTAGTGGCCACCATATGGACAGAATAGTTCCAAGCAGTTCAGTATGACTGGGGCACAGAATTTGAAGGGTAATACAAACAAGAGAGGAAGTTGACAATGTCACAGGCCAGGTCACAAATAACTAGGATGCTTGCTAAAAGTAACTAGTAACGAGTTACAAGAATTTAAAAAAAAAACAGTAATAAGGGTAATAAAATTTGAAATAAGGGTAATAAAAAAATTTGGAAAGGGATAATGGTGATGGCTTCACAACATGGCGAAAGTAATTAATGTCAATGAACTATACATGTAAAATTGATTAAAATGTTTTGTTACATCTACTTCACCATGATTAAAAACGAGTAACTTGTAGGCAATGAGAATCCATGGTAAGACTTTTAGGAGAGTAGGGGTAGAGAGGACAGGCGAGGACAGAACCAAATCAGGGAAAAGGAAAAAGAACTGATCAAGGATAAGTTTTTTTAATGTTTGGCAAAATGGACTATTAATAGTCTAATATCCTATACTTTCATTACAATGATTTTTTTTTTCAAAGAGCGGAACTTACTCTCAGGTGTCGATTTTCTTCCGACAGTTTCATCATTTCTCCCTGAAGTCTTTTACATTCTTCCATTAGTTTTCTTGTTTCAGTATCATTGAGTGAAACACTATGTGGTTTTGGCATGGGTCCATCTTGTTTAGATGCATTCAGTGGAGCAGCTTTGCTAGGTTCCATGTCATTCTGTATCATAAAGATATTGGAACGTTTAAACAAACAAAAATTTAAAGTCCATATCCTGCTCTTCCCGAAGAATTCTTTAAATGAAATATTTTGACAGCTTTCAATCTCATTTATAAGGATTTTAAAAAAAATACTAAACATTATAGTTGTCTGTGAGTAATATTAAAAGGTCTTAGTCAAAAACTATCAGTAGTTAAGACAGGTCAAGATAAGCAGCCCGCTCCCTCCTCTACTCCCATAACCCTACCCTTTGCACTTACTTCTACCATAGCACTTATCATATATTCTAATAGTTTATTTTTGATGTTGTCTCCTTTAATTACTCAAAGGCTGGGAGAGCAAGAAGCATTTCTTAGAATTCTTTGTCATTTACCCCTAAACCCAGCACTTTGGCCAACTGTACTTATTCAATGAAAGTATGATGAATGACTGACACCAATCAAAATCCAAATATGAAGTTCATTTTCAGTGTTGATTCTAAATTCAAATGAGGTTCTGGGGGAAGGGGTAGTATCATAATCATTCCAGTAAAATTAGGATACTAGTTAGGGAAAAATATTTAAAAGAAAATATTAACTATTAATGAGAAAAAATTACTGAGGGGTATAAATATTGAAGGGGAGATAATGAACACAAACATAATGGCAATAAAAGGGGGAAATGGAGTTAAGAAGTCTGTAATCTCTCACTTGAAACAAAAATGAATCTTTCAAATCATTAATAACACTGCTTTAGTTCATGCAATTCAATATGGAATCACAGTGGTACCACAGACACTTTTATGCCCATGAGTCCCAAAATCTTACTCTTACCAACACTTACCCATTTGAAGCTAGTGGCAAAGGCCTGGACATAAATACCTAGGGCAGTGCCTAGTATTCCTGAGCCTGTGGTATAAAGTACCTCAATATTCTTCATCCTGATACTATTTATACCACCACATACCGTAACAGTATTGGTGCAGTCTTCTTTTTAACTTTAAAATTCATGCTTGTTAAAAAAATTAACTTTTTTAGATAAAAAGAAGTATATAAACTGCTATATTCTGATAGAATATATGAATAAATAAGATGCTAAATAGCCATTTATAAAAATCAACTTTATGGCATTCCACAGCACACATTAATAGGATTTAATTACGGACTGCACACCTACCACCATGTTTCCAGCTGCCAAATTTATATTAAGGGTAAATAAACTGTTTAAGGACCAGGACTAGTATTTCTTATGAAGAGGTTGTGATTTGACCAGTATGCCTAAATCCATGCAAAAAAATCAGTCATATTACAATGAAGTTTAAATGCACAAAACTGTATACAGCTGACCTGTCAACATTTGAATTTTTCCATCTTTTTTCAGCAGGTTCACGTTTGTAAAAGCTTACTCCAATTTCTTTCTTTGGGTTTCTCTCCTGCTAGCTTTCTGTCATTCACCCTAACTTCCCAATTCCGATCAATCCCACCTCCATCTATTATTAAAAATCAGTTTCAGATATATCTTGCTCTCCACATTCTTTCCTATTCTTTTCCTTAATAACTAGAATTATTTTCAAAATGATCTCTCAAGTGTGCTTAAACTCCATCCAAGTAGAAGTCCAACTTCTGAAAATGGGGGTGAACACTTTGCCTTCCTCTGCAAAGAACACAATGGTTGTCCATGCAACTGAGCTTAGGTTTTGGTTATGAACTGGGAAAAAATAATCTACTCATACCAGAAAGTTGTCTAAGAAATCAAGAGGAGATACAAGAGGCCAACAGTAAAGAGAAAAAAATTTGAATACGGAATTATGAAGCTCTTCACAACTGGCTTTTTATTTTTAAATAAATTCCAGAAAATTTGGAATTACGAGGGGGAGGCGAGGAAATTACCTCCATTGTTTCATTATACCATCACAAAAATTATTTGCAATATGTTAACTTCCAGTGTTTTTATGTGCATATTTTACATAGCTAAAATCAGCATGCATATTACATTTTCATCTTGCTTTATTCTTTATTTTATATTTTTTAATTATCATTTTAAATGACACAATATGTCATTAAATATTCTATTTTGTGCCTTACCAAACTACTTAACCACTTCACTTGTTAGATACCTGAGGTAGCTTCCAACTCTGGAATTTTAAATAAACATGTCAATGAATATCTTCTTATGGTGGTAGAATTAAGAGTTTTCTTTTTTATTAAATTTTTCTTAATGCTGTTATATTGCTTTAACAACAAAAGGGGAAGAAACGACATAATGAACTTACTGGAGGACCAACATAAGACCAGAATGCAAAGATGGAGAAGCTTAAACACACTTTACCCAAGTTACACAGAGTAGAGTTACATCACATACTGTCTAGGCCCCCTACAAACCAGTCAACATACAGAGCAGATGCAAAGAAATCTAATTTATTTACGCAGATTTAAAGAATAAGCATATATAACCTAACTTAGTTGGGAGTTTAAAAAAAAAGTGCCGAGTCATTCACGTAGGAACAATCTGAAGGGCCTGATGGCAAACACTAAGGCAGGTGTGACTTTCGTTATATACTTCCATGCAGGAGCTCCATTAGCGAGGTTTGGCTCCAGGAAAACAGCTTGTTCCTTGAGAGTTGCTTCAGACTGGTCCAGAAAGAGGAGACTGGTTGCTCTGAGAACCATGAAACAAGCCAACTAGAGAGATTCAATATGCTGTGACTCTTAGTAAACTGATGAATAGTACCATACATTAACACTGTATTTAACACTGCAGCTTACAATAAGCTAAAAGGTCAAGGCCGTGATAGCAATAAAGATGAAATAATACAGCACACCTTGTACATTTTCCACTCTAAATTATTTAGCCTATCTGCAGTAATCCCTATCTATGAGTTGAATTTACTTCTGTATTCTTTTTCAACAATCAACAGAATTTCAATATTCCTTCTGAAATAATTAGAAAAAGAGGGAACTAGGGATTGGAAACAGAAGGGAAAGGTAAAATATAAGGCAGAGTAGGTTTTTTTTTGCAGTGAAGCCTTGGGAAGGACAAACAAAGCTAAAGGACAGTAAGTATGGGGCTGTATGCTTGTGACTTTGAGTAAGGGGTGAATGTGAAGGAAGAAAAAAAAAAAAAAAAAAAAAAACCCACTGTCGTGGAATCAATTCCAACTGGCTAAAGCCCAGAGCTATATAGCATGACATTGTCAAGGGCAGCATTAAGAGATGGTGTTGGAACAACAAGGTTACCCAAAGATTGTGTCCACTCCAAACAACCAAGTTACTCTTGTTTCTCTACAACCATAATTCCCAGAATAACTCCAAATCACAAAATCAAAAAAGTACCAGACATGTAGACACAGGGTCAGATTTTTTTTTTTAAGTCTCAGTATGCATATTACTTGCAATACCAAATCAAAGTATAAGCAACCTGCTAAAACTGTGGAGTTCCTTAAGTTTCCAGTCAGCAAGAAATGGTAATAACAGGAATCACACAGCATCCATTCCATCATCACCCAAAAGTCACTATAACTTTATTGATGTGCTGCTGCCATTTTACTTGAGTGACTGTCAATACATACCTACACATACACACAAAAGTATTAACAAGCTCAATTATGACTTAAAGTCTTTAGGGCTTTAACCACAAATTCTCCCACCCCAGGGCACTGTAAAAACCCAACAATTACAGTTAGGAAGATGTTACTATATATTTGTGTTTAACAACAAAACATACATTAGTAATTTCATTTATCTTTTTTTATATAAACATGAGTACTTGCCTGAACAGCAAAGTCAGCCAGCTCATACCTTTACTGCTACACAGGTTATCGTGCTCAAACAAGTCACAAAGTTGCCTAGTGGCTCATTAAAAGGTAATAAATTAGGAAAATCTTTTGCAGTATGCTCCCAAAATCTCAGTGACAGGAAAAAACTACAAGTTCATAATAATGTTCACACTTACATTTCCCCTGTGCACTACTGAGATTAAGCGTTGAGTTTGTTTTTTTTTTAAATACAACAGTTTGCTTGCTTGATTTTTAAGTGCTCTGTGGTTCTATTACAACTGGAAACATAACTGAAAATTTCAATTCTGTTTCATGTAACACTCACAATACGACATAGCTGAAAGGTATCTACATTAACTTTTGTTTTAATCAGTAATACTAGTAGACTTCTAAGTCTGTTAGCTCCCTCTGACAAACCTTCTGCTTCTCCTGTTTGAACACACTGAGTCCCCTGGGATCATTCTTCATGTTATAACTGGCAGGTGTTGCAACTGTGTTGTTGATGCTGCTCAATGAAGTGACAGCTGCAGTAGTCCCTGGTGGAGTTATACCCTGAGGTGGCATGGGAAACATACTCTCAGATTCACACCAAATTCTGATTTCTTCTGCATGATACTGGGAATGACTAACACAAAAAGCATTAGGCTCTAAAACATTCACGTTTTACTCTATAAAACTGTGTTATGCATAAGAAATAATACTAATAGCTATATTTAAGAAAAAATAAGTTTCTGACCTTTTATATTATTTCTCAACAAAATTAGCTATGACCAACTTGTATCAGATTCACTTATTAAATTTATACACTTTCTTAAATTATGCCAGCTTCATGGTATCCTAAAATGAGTACCTTCTAACTTAATGTTTTTACTAAACACTTAGTATCTGAAAAACAAGCATTTTCATGTTTTATTACCCTTGATAACATTTAATCTGCATACTGATTTTGAGTTAAATAAATTTTCCCGTCAGTTAAAAAATGTTATGATGCGTAAGCCTCTCTTGAACTCAGCAACATCCCCTCAATACACACACAAACACACACATCTCATAAGACCCAATAAACAAATTTAAGGACTCATAAAACATTGTAATATGCCATTATCGCCATAGTTCCCTTCCTTTAACAGTCAATCTTAATACAGATAAAAATGATCCTATACAAAAAGATTAGAACAGACTCTGAAATAATCCAGAACACTGTACATAAGAAGTGAATAATGCGCTGTCTCCCAATCTGTTCTGTCTCAACAAAAAATGTATGTTTAATCATATCATGTCTTTACACACACACACACACACACAAAACCCGTTGCTGTCAAGTCGATTCCAACTTACAGTGACCCTACAGGACAGGGTAGAACCATAGAGCTCCCAAAGAGCGCCTGGTGGACTTGAACTGCCGACCTTTTGGTTAGCAGCCGTAACTCTTAACCACTATGCCACCAGGATTTCCCTTTATACGTAAGACCCCTGAAATACCCTGTTCTTTACAGCTCTTCAGCCTTCATTAAGACAAATCAATATTTTCTCCGAGAAAATGTATCATCATCAAATTAGATGGAGAGCATAAATAAAATGCAACACATTTAAGAAATCTGGAAAATATCTAGTTGAAGGCCTCAAAATAAACCAAACTTTAAAAAACTGAATAGAAAGAACTGAATAGGCCATTAAATAACAGAAATAACAAGTTAATTAAAACCACAATTGAATCCTGAAAAAACACTACCACTAACTGGACATTCGATTTCATAATACAAAGTTGATAATAGCTAAGCAGAGGTAATAATCTAGCGAAGCCCATTTTGTGAAACATTTAACTCAATGCTTTAGTGTCATCTACCTCCAGCTCCAACTATTAACCACCCAGGGAACATGCTGAATGGCTCTCAATACTAGCAATGAAAACAAGTGAAGACATTATCAGTCATTAATTAATTAAAATATACTTAAATAAGACCTGCTACTCCCTAGAACTAGGATGACTGTACATCTTAATGTGCTTACAGACAGTATGAATTTTTACCTGTGGCTAATTATTAATAGCACATCCTTTTATTCTAAAATAAAAGGGTTCCTGGGTTTCCTAGGTTACCCTATGACCCAAATCAGAGAGCTATTTCCCAAAAAGAAGCCCACACTGTAATAATGGTTTACATAAATAAATTCAGTTATTTCATCACCAAAAAAAAATGACTGTTTTAAGCTATAAAAATAAAAACATAGACCCAAACTACTATACTTCTAAAGCTCACTCCCTTCTTACCCTACAAGATGACCACAAAACTTCATTTTCTTATTTATATATTCAGTATCAAGGTCCTAAAAAGCATAAAGAAATCAACAAAATAATAACATAACCTTTGCCTACTGTTGTCAGAACTGTGTAAATGCCCAAGAACCAACAGCATACCTAAAAAGATCAAGATCCTCTAACAGCCGTCGAGTTGATTCCGACTCATAGCGACCCTACAGGACAGAGAACTGCCCCATAGCGTTTCCAAGGAGCGCCTGGTGGATTCGAACTGACAACCTTTTGTTTAGCAGTTGTAGCTCTTAACCACTACATCACCAGGGTCTCCAGGTGGGACATGCCGTACTTAAACAAATGCTTTTAGGGGGGAGCTGCAGGGACAGTAGTGAAGGACTGGGGTGGGGCGGTTAACTTAAGAAACACTAGATCAACATCTCAACATCACAAAGTTTAAGACCTGCTATCTACACCATCTTTAAGAAAGTACCAACTGTGATACCTATTGTGGTATCTGCTTTGGATAGGAATCAAATTTTTCTAAGTTGATTAACTAAAGATCATAAATTCTTATGACCAACTCTTTAAAGCAAATGGACAAGGGACTACTAACTAAACATGGACTTCTCTACTGCTCCAAACACTAACCAAGGCTGAATACAAAGTACATATACCATCCAGAGGGAGGTGTGTATTAAATCTTAAACTGTCACCAGCAACTCAGTTAATAGCTGAAACTGAATTGTGCTTAAGTCAACATACTTTTTAACAACATACTAATTAATGAACTGAAAAAGAATAAAGAGTCAAAAGACCTCAAGGAATTCACTATACTGCAATAAAAATTAGAAACTTTTTAAAATCTACATTACCAACATAGTTTCCATTATTTTTATTAATCTTGCACATTTAGAAATGTGTTTTCCTTAAATAAGAGAGTGTCATCTTTAATCAATTTCTATAAGTCAGGATTCACCATCATAAAGCACTTTATCAATTTATCTGAAGTAAACTGACAAACTATTACCTAGGTATCACACTACCCAGTAATGCCCTAATTTCCAAAGAAGTTTCATACTAAACCCAAGATATACATACCAAAAGAGGATGTTAAGTAATTTCATCTATGAATGCTAGAAAGAAACCACTATTACAGACACTACAACTTGGATTAGTTTTCTTGGTTCGAAGGTTTAGCGTCATGGTTTCATGGGTCTAGCCAGTCAACTGGCTGGCATAAAGTTATGTTTAGAGTTTTTGTTCAACCTCCTAGTTCAGTGAGTAGTGCCTGGGGTCTTAAAACCTTGGCAGCGGCCACTCAAGATATAACAATTGGTCTCTATTCACCTGGAACAGCAGAGAGGAAGGAGACCCTGGAATCAGAGAAAAAAATGAACTGCAAGTTTAACTGCCTCCATGACCTACTACCTCCTCTACCAGGAGACCAGAAGAAATGCATGGCCCAGCTATAGTTACTGAACATTTTGATCAAGGATCCCAAAGATAAATCCTGATCAAAAGGAGGAAAATCAGGAAACAGAACTTCAAATTCACATGGAAATCACTTACTGGATCCACTGAGAGACTGAGGGGACCCCTGAATCTACTGCCTGGAAATAATCTTTAAACCCTGAAGCCAAAGTTAAACTAAACAACAGTTTATCTCACTTAACAAAGAACATCCGCTTTGGGCACTGGGCTCTTATAAGATTATCTACATGAGTGTAAACTGAAAACGGTTCATCTAAAGCACAGATGAGACCTTTAAGGGGCACAGTCTAAATTAATGGTGATATAACAATACGGTTCGAGGCAGAGAGAATGGTGAGACAATCTAAAATACATAACCGATGTTATGGAACTGCACATGTAGAAACTGTGAGCGGATGTATGTTTGGTTGTATATAATATTGCTACACCAAAAAAAAAAAAAAAACTGATTTTTAAGCAGTTTTATCAGCTTCATCTGTAAATCATACTGAACTGGAAATGGCCAAACAGATTCATCAACAGGGTCTTACTGCCACATGAAGGAAGTATTATGGAAGAGATGTTTCATATGTATTTTTATATAGATATAAAAAGCTTATCCTTGTTATAATAAAAAAAAAAATTTTTGATATATGTTTTGTTCCATAATAAAGGCTTCAGATTTGCCACTTTAAGGTTTCCTATCTTTCATAAAGGATGTGATACAACATTAAATTGATGACAGAAAGTCACATAATCAACTAAACCCAGGTGGAATTGGGTCTGTTGTCAGGCTGCACTGAATTTAACACACTTCTCAGAAACTAACATTTCTTGTAGAATCTGCAGGTTAATAGCACCACAAGAATGAGTTTAGGCAGAAATGGTCAATGCCTCCAAAAGTGTATTTTACAGAACAACAGATATTCCATGAGAAGCTAATGGTGTTACATTAAATAAAAAAAAAAATACTGAGTCAAAAACATGTCTTCCCAGTCTTCTTTACTGTAGGCTCTCTTTACTACAGGTCAAACATGCCACATGAGACATGGTATTGCAGTATTTTTCAAAACTCATTTGACCACAGAACTACTCTAATGTAACACAGTTTGGGAAATACTGCCTTACAAAAACACAGCTGTGTATTAACCCCCTCTTTTTAACATACACATTAATCAATTAATGCCACCGCTAGGCTGTCTGGGGTAGTGGATAAGGGCTCGGCTGCTAACCAAAAAGCAGGCAGTTGGAATCCACCAGGTGCTCCCTGGAAACCCTATGGAGCAGTTCTACTCTGTCCTATAAGGTCGCTATGAGTCAGAATCCACTTTTGGTTTGGTTCTAGGCTGTGTGTACTGCAGATGTAGACAGATTTCTGCACAGTTGAATTACATAAATTTGAAATGTTGATATACTGAAATATTAAAAAGTCTCACTTTATATCCAAAACTTGAAATGTGAATTCCAAACACTTAAAAATATCCATCAAGAAGCAAAACTGTAAAGCTAGTGAGCCATGTGAACCAAAACCAAGTTTATCATATTGCTATACGGCAACAACTCTTCAGCTGGTTCAGAGGCATCTGCCCGTCCTTGTCAGGACCACTGCTGGATTTTAAAATTTTAAATTAGCCAAGATCTTCAAGAACATATCTCAGCCATAAAATGCAATCACTACTACAAGAAATAAAAGAATGAGCATCATCCTTTGTGCTGCTGACAGGATTTTATCAATAAAATTTTACCATCTGAAGAAATGCCTTCAAATGATAATTGGACCTCAATGGTAATCTTGGCCAAAAGAATGGTTTGATAAGAATTCTGACACAATTAAAAATCACTGTCTTGTCCCAGTGCCCAGACTGTGGTCTTGAAATACCATCTCCCACTGAAAAAAGCCACAGCTTCTTGAAGAAATGGCTGATTCCAGGTCTGGGCCTAGAAAAAATCTTACCATACTAGGCTACAAGAAAGTTACCAAAGACTACTAGGGTAAAAAAAAACCTCAGGAACCAACCTGTAACTAAGGGTCAAAAGACTCATGCATTTTTCCTGACTTTATAAGCTCTATCACTGAATAAACAAATATTAGATGAGGGAAAGTTTCTCTTTATGCAAGTACTCTAGCTAATAAACAGAACATTACCATCATGCAGCCTAAAATGAATTAAATGGAGCTGGATCAGATGTTCTCAATCTCAGCACTACTGACATTCTGAGCCTGATAACTGCTGTGGAGAGCTGCCCTGTGCACTGCAGAATGTTTCAGAGCATCCCAGGCCTCTACCAACTAGATATCAGTAGCGCTCCCACACGCCCACGCCCACGCCCACCCCCACAGCTATTACTACTGAAAGTGTCTCCAGACACTGCCAATGTCTCCCAGGGGACAAAATCAACGCTGGCTGAGAACTGTTCATCTAGACATTGTGCATCAATGACTTCTAACTTCACCCTCCCCAAAAAAAGACACGTGTTTCCTCGAGAGAATACATCACCACCTATGAAGCAGTCTTGCCCCCCCCCCCCCAAAAACAAATCTAAATTGAATCAAGCCTCTACGTCCAACTGCCAATTTAGGAAGAAAATACCAAGGACACAGGAAAAGTTAAATACATCAAAAGGAGTCAATCAGCAAAATCTAAACCACAGGAAAGTCTATACAACAAGCTCAGTTTCTTTACTAAATAATTTGCAAAAGAGAGAGAAGGAACCTAGAGATGAAGAGACTTAAGAAACAGATTAACCAATGCTGACTTTATTTTGATCTTGTTTCAAACCAACTGCAAAAAAAATTTTAAATGACATTTGTGAGACATTTAGAAATTTGAATGTTGCCTGGATCATTTGGTATTGATTATTTATTAAATTTTAAAGGTATAATAATGGTATTGTGGTTACTATTACTTATTTCCTTTTCCATCTCCTTTTTTTAAGACATTATCTTTGACAAATACATACTGAAATAGTTACAGATGAAATTATATGATATCTTGGATTTGTCTTAAAATAATATGTGAGATGGAAAGTGGTGGGGTTTAAGTGAAATAAGATTACCCATAAGCTGATAACTGTTAAAGCTGGTGACAGGTTCACAGGGATTCATTCCTGTCTACTTTTCTACGTGCTTAAAATTTTCCAAAATAGAACATTTAAAAAAAAAAAAAAATCATTAGCAGATACTACCTACGATTTAATTGGAATATCAACTATACCAAAAGTCCAAGTGGTTTAATTAGGAGGTACATTTTGCAGCTAGCTCATCCAGGCTCAGAATCAGATACTCTCTGGAGCACTTTGAAGTTACTGACCAGCCTTTGCTTTACTACCAGGACCTGCTCTGAAAAGGTTCCAGACCCAAACTATTTGTGCTCCATCATGTGGGAACTCTGTGGGAACTCCATTCAAGCACTAAAGCAGATCTAAAACTGCTCTCTCAGGCTACTCTGGGCTGTACCTGTACGTACATATACAGCAGGTATGCCTGCTCTTCTCCACGAGGGTGTAAAATGGCTAGGCTCAACCGTCACAGCCATATCATTCCAGCCTTTCTCAGACTTTAATCTCAAAGTGTTTGCTATCTATAACATAACAGCTGCCCAGATGAAAGAGTCAGATCTAGCTATGTTTATTAAATGACTGTAAAAAATGCCATAAAATTTTAAGTGAGAAAACATCCAAATTATTTAAAAAAAAAAAAAAAAAAAAGTCAACCTGACAACATGCTGTTATGTTTTCTTGGTTCCAGTAAGAGTTGTGCAACCTACCTGCCTCCCAGCACCTTAGGCAAAAGGGAAAGTAAAATAGAAATGGGAAACATAAACATGCAATCTAATCCTCACTTTGCAGTAAGAATATACACATGTATGTGTTCCCCAATGGCATATGTAGTGTAGGTTTTTGTTTTGGGCAAATTTCTCAGATTCTCTTTCTAAAAAGCATAAAATATTCAATAAATAATTTGGTCAACAGCTAATAACCATTCAGGAACTATGCCATTTCAGCTTACCCTGAAAGAGTAACACAGTAATTGAGCCCATATAGTAATCTGCAAGTTTACTTTTCAATAGGGCAAATGGCCTCTATATCAAACCAACAGTCATGTCAGAGCATAACCAAACTGTGTGCCAAACAATTTTATTTATCCATATTATCACATACATTAAGTTACCAAAATGACACTTACCTCTCCAGTCCTTCCTACAAACCACAAGAAAAGAAGTATTCAAATTTGCATTCCTGAAGGGTAGCAGGGAAAGTGACCACAACCCATTCTATACATTCATAAGCTTACTGTATTTTTAAACTACACACATATCCATCAGCAACCCCCACCCAATTTTATACGCCTCATGCTAATTAATAAGCAATGTAAAGATTATTTACTAGTGAATAAAATCAATAGATTTTGACCAAAAACAAAATTGAGCAAAATACTTGGAAGAGTCAGACCTGGAATAAACTCCTTGTCCATGTAAATTAACTCCTTTATCCCCAAACTGCTCATATATGGTTGTCAAAAAGCAGTTTATATCTCTTATTTAATTATATTTACATGTACGTTTCATTCCAAAAAAACTTTAAGTGGTTTTAGTAGTAAAAATTTGACAGAATTAAGATTCTTTCTCCAACATGAAGCTTGTACCTAAAAGTGAATATTTCTTTCTTCTTAAACAAAATGTTCTAAAATGAAAAAAGTGTACCAATTTTTTTTTTTAAACTTAAGTCAAATAAACACCGAGTCTTATAAGGTAGAACAGTCATATCACAGATTCTCCAAGGCCAAAAAACAGGAACAAAACTAATTTCAAACTAAGGCAGAGCTTAACAGCTTCCATTTTCTTTATGTTCTTATATTTCCTACTTACCAACTTATCATTTTCATTGGGCATTTCAAATACACATCTCAATTTAGAATCCATTAATTCATCAGGTTTTGCCTCTTTCCACTAGAAACAAATGAAACCAAACGTGAGACACAGGAGGTATGATCGCGGCAAACAGGCTTCACCTCAAGGGACAACTAAAGGACTAGCAGCAGCTGCTGGGAGCAGCGGTGAGGAGTCCATGGCTCCAGCAGGACTCACTGCTGCACTCTGCGTTCATCACAATACTAAGTATTAATACTAAAAAGAGCTACTAACATCATCTGTTAAAATCATACTAGCATTTCTAGAGATTACAGGACTTTCTTCGTAGTAGTGGCATTTCTAAGCTATTTTTAAGAAACGTCATTTCAAAATTATTAGGTTTGTCTACTGAGAGGTGAACAAAACGCAGTTTAAAAATAAATTTATTTCCCCAAATCAATTCCGTCCAACCTCTACACTTACCACAGCTTCCATATCTGAAGTGTTTGGTGGAGCAAAAATTGTCTGTACCATAAACTTATGTTTACTCTTCTCATTTGGATCATAGTCAAAAGGCTGTAGCATTACTAAACAAGAAAAAAGAACACATTACGTTGTCTTCTGTGTTTGTTTGCTTCTTATCATTCCTATTACCTCCTTCACGACATGCAAATTTAGGGAAAAAAAAACCAGGAAAGGTTTCAAGAAACCAAACACTGGATTATTTACATTAAGACTCCAGAATTAACTTTATGATTCCAGTTATTTTTAAATTGTTCACCTCTGCTCTAAGTCTTAAACAACCTGGTTAGTTTGGGAAAAATTTCAAAACTTCACAAAAATTAATTATCATAATGCCTATAAACTCAGATTAAATCTTGTTTAAGTTATTTATTAAAATTAGCTATAATATCAATTTAGGTTTCATTTTTGTATTTAGTAATAATATCTAAAAGTAGACAACTGAAGTATTTAAAGGAGAAATATTGCTAACTTAAAAACTGTCATTTATTAATGCTTTAATATATTAATTTTTCTAAAATGAATGTTAAATAAAGACCTATTCAAGAAGAGTATCAATTTGTTTAAATCTGATTATAAAAACAAGTACAGAAGAAAAACACGTAGCTTTATAAATTCTGGATTAGAGTCCCAACAATTAGATCAACGTTTTTTTTCTAAGCATTTATGATTTTCAGTAGATTTTTAGAGGCTCCATCTGGTTATAAGTAACACTAAATTTATGTAATGTAATAAATTCAATATAAGAGACAATAAAGAGTTACACAAAATATTGTATTGTGGAACTTTTTCCTGATAATATTTAGATTATTTCTAAGACATATATATGATGTATATTTATCATTATATATTTCTAAGACAAATGCAATTAAGAACGTGTAAGAAATATCAATTGCATAAGAAAACCTTATGTATGACTGAGAAGTCCATTAACTCCCAAAATGGTTACAAAATGTTTTTCAAGGGGGCCAAATATATAGGGGCACAAAATGCACAGGATAAATGTCACAGACTCAAGATAAAACCCAATAAAATTCCATTAACAACCTTCACTGAGCAATCACTGTAGGCTAATCAATATTTACCAAAAATTTGAGGATAAAATGAAAACTTAAAACACAGTTATAGCTTTATGACAGTTACACTCTATTAAGGTTACAGGCCATATAACATGAAAGGCAACTCTTAAAACATGTATAAATACGTATTAAAAGGGAGAGAAGAAAAAAGAAATGAACATGTAATACAGAGAGTTCACCAGGAAAAGGTAGCTAGAGAAAGCATAGCTCGAGTGAATCCTTGTATGTAAAGGCAGTACACTAAATCGGAGGGCAGGCTGTGCAATTAGTTACAGGTTTGTTTGAAGTTTTTAACAAGTCAGTGCTCAGTACAAGGGGTTTATGTGAGAGAGAGTGCTTATAAAAGTATAAAGTTTCTTAAGAAATATTAATACAGTAAAAGTTCAGCAATCCAGAACCCTCAAAGAAATCTACATAGTTTTATGAATTCCTAGGTTTATAACTTCACCAAAAGCTGTTTTTAATCATGTAGATAGAAATAATTCTATCTTCCTCCAATGTTGCTAAAGGCTTAAAGATACAGAGAGTAACATCTTATTTTCCATTCATTTTCCCCAGGAACTGCTGAAATAGACTAAGGTACCAACTTAACAATTATGAAGCATTCCCTGCAAGTCCTCTGGGACTCACTAAAAACATCTCTTCCAGGGCCACCCAGCTCTCAGATTTCAGCTGTACCTACTTAGGGAGGAGTCATCATCGCCAAGAACTCTAAGGTCTGTCTTTGACTGCCTTGCAGTCAGGTTCCACTTTTAAATACGCTCAGCAGGCTGCTCTAGTCTCTCACTCTTTGCATAATTTGCCATTTTTAATCTGCTGTGAGCTTGACAACCAGAAAACCGATACAGAATTAATACAGTAGCTTAGGTGCTCTTATCAAGATCACCCAGGAAGGTCTGGTTTTTGTTTTTATTTTTTTTAACATACACATACATGTCCAGACCATGCCCCCAGAGATTCTGATCTGGGAGAGGTCCATGTATGTTCATGCTCCCCCTGTTACCAGGACACACAGAGGGAAATGAGAACTACTGATACAAAGAGTAAATGGTCTCTGTGTGAGATACACTTTCTCATACTTGTTTCCTGTTTCTCAGCTATGTCAGATGATATAATTAAAAGAGTACTGTCTTGGGCTGTACGGGAAGCAAAAACCATTTATAACATTAACTATGGCACTAGCACAGACTCTACAGCAGGAGTAAGCAAGCCATATATGGGAGGAACAAAGAATACCTCTTCAACTATAAGTAAACAAATAAGGGAGTAATAAAAATAAAGTTTTCAAGTGCATAACACTGTTGACATTTACAATCAATGAAAAGCAGAAAGATGCATCTGATTTGATACAATAGCCAATAAAGAGGTATTGTGTACTTTTAAGCAAAAGAACTGGAAGAACACTTCTATAGCTACCTGTGACACATAATAAGCTGGAGATCTAAATGAGATCAGTCATAAAAACATGGTGTAATATTTCAAAGACAAAATAATAAGGGCAGAACCTGTGGTACTAGGCTACACAAAAAATAGATGTAAAAATTTTTAACTGATAATTACTTATAAATTGACCGTACTCCCCATAAGGATACGAGATGAGGGTGAGAAATTTTCTGCCAGTTTGCGTTCAGTAAGATAACACGAGGACATCACTAAAGGCAAAGCCAGAATAACTAAAAATGATTTAATTGCCTCCACATTAAACCCTATTAATTAAACAAAATCACAAAATGTCAAAATTCAAAACTCAGAACATGATTTGCTACCTGAAACAGTCACAGTCAACCCTGGATCAATAATTCCACTGTTGGGCCTCACACAGTACCGACGAGGAGCTGTAGTCTTCACTTTGAAACATACTTTTCTATCCGATGGATTTCTCAATTTAAGATTTGTAGTGACTACATCTGTGAAGGGGCCTGTAAGGTTTAAAAATTAAAAAGAAATTTAACTGTACTCACAATTTTAAAATAACAGAATTCAAAACTGAATGTATATAATCCCAATTTCATTTACAGTATGTATTTAAGTGTATATGCATAAATATACCAAAGGTTAACACTGCTTTTCTCATTACAAATGAGTATTTTCTTCTTCATTCTTTACCGTATTTTACAAAATTTATACAGTGAACATGTATTACTTCTAACCAAAAAAGGGCTTTTTAAAAGTTTCAATCTATGAAATAAATTTACAGTTGTATCATTACAGTATGCTTCTTCTACATTACTGAAAATATGGGGATTTTCCAGTGGTCTGCAAACCAGTGCCAATCTTCAAGTTCATGTTACTAGGCAAACAGCAAAAACCTCTAATGTGAAGACACTATACCCAATGATAACAGTGCTCCTGCTTCACCCCACCCAGGTCTGATTCAATCATTTATTCATTCAAATATTTGTTAAGTGTTTATTACTGCACTGTGCCACATGTCCCAGATGCAAAGTTTTTAAGCTTTGGTTCTGCATCCAAACAATAAAACTGCAAAGCAAAGAAGCTGAAAAGACGATACAGTCCTGCCTAAATTAAATAAGTACTAAACCAGCATATTTGTTTTTTTTTTCTAAAGGAAGAATTACAGTAATTTTGCTCTTGGCTGAAGAAAAACCTAGACAGGTTCTGCAGATTAAAACAACAAAATGAATTTATCTGTTAATTTGGAGACACGAGGAACTGCAAACGTGTCAATGACTGAGAAACAATAATCATATACTTCTAACTACTGCAAAAGCAATTTTAAATGGTTCTAAAAACAATTAGCTTTAAATTACATTTTTTTTAAAAGCCAGAAGGCTGAAATCACAGACAACTATTATGAAGGCAATCTATAAAATACCTTTTCTTAAACAAGAACAACCATGTCTTTCAAAACTTTAAACTATTTACATCATACAAGCTCAGACTGAGAAAATTCTCCAATTGTTGTTAGGTGTCGGCAAGTCAGTTCCGACTCATAGCAACCCTACGTACAACAGAAGGAAAATGCTGCCCAGTCCTGCACCATCCTCACAATCACTGCTATGTTTGAGCCCATTGTTGCAGCCACAATCCAACTATCAATCCCAGATAAAGTTTTACCCTATTTTATTGAATACTGGAAAATTAACTGAGACAAAACCTTGGAGGGGAACAAAAAATATAGTCAAAGAGGTTTTAGAAGAATGGAGGAGATGAAATCAGATCTGCCTAATGTAGCAACTGGAAGAAAAGAGATTTGTCTACAGACTTCACAAAGGCAAGGCAATTAAAATATACTTATTTCAAGTCCTAAGAAGTGAAATAATTTTATCCTATGCTTAAAAGTTTGTGAGTTGTAAAATAATTTCTAAGAAATAAAGATGAGAAACCAGGATGAGAGGGAGAAGACAAAAGATAAGGGAAAATTACCAGAATGCATGTGAAGGCAGAGCATCAGTTACAGGAAAGACAGCATTTTAGTGTAAACTAACCATCTAAGACAACAGGCATACATGGGTTTAAAATACATATATAAAGTATACTCTTTTGAACAGCTTGTTTTAACTATACAGTCAAGTTAATCATCCAATCTCTTAAACCCTTTGCTGCTTCAACTGCTTACATTTTTTGACAAGCTGCTAATTAACTCCACCATATAAATGGCATCTGAGAATAAAGGAGAAAATTCAAATCTGTCCATTTTGCTACATGAATCACAAAATGGTTGGAGAAGCATCTTAAACTTAACTTTGATAAAACTAGGAGTCTTAAAGACAAAGATTCCATTTTTTAACATTCTCAAAGCCCATGAATTACCAGACATAACTGAATGTGTAAATTTTATAGGACTATTTCAACTAGCACTTTAACATTAGTAGCAACCATGGATTAAAACAAAAATTCAATTTCTTCCTCAAACATGACAAAACATTTCAGAAAATTTTAATTCTGAACTATCCTACATTTTTATAACACAAGTTTTTTTTTTAAATTCTCCTCAATTTTAGAGGAAAGCATCAATTATCCATTTAAAGTAAAATAACTGATTTTTTCAAAACTGACTTTTAATAAAATGACCACATATCAATTTTCACCGATAAACTCCACAAGAATTGTATGAATTCTGAAACAGTATTTAAATTTTATGATACAGCCCAGCAGAGCTTATAAATCTCCAGTATATTGTGGTCTTTCTAGACATAACAATGCAAACTATCTGAAGATGAAGATACTATGCCAAAAGAAAAAATCTACCAATTAAAACAAATTTCTTAACAGACATGTTAACCTTATGATTAAAATGTTAAAGTTACCTATAATAAACCCACCTAACAAATGAATTTGAGATTTTCTGCTCCACTGTGTCCCTCTAACCAAGCCTCTCAATGAGAGTTGCTCACAGCAGAGAGTTCACAGAGTCTAAGCCCATTTTCCTGGTTAAAATGGAAAATTAGCAAGTACTGGTGACCATTAGCATAAGAACAACCAGATTCAATAGCTAAAAGAGGTCTTGGGAAGAAACATCTGGTCCACTTTCGTGGGTCACAGAACCGTTTGAGAATCTGATGGAAGCTATATCCTAACCCCAGAAAAACACACATAGGTACATAATCACAAAAATTTTATATTCAATTTTTTAGTGGGGTATGGGTGAAGCAGGGAAGCTGGGGGGAAGGTTGTATTATGAACTCCCTGAAGCTGCTGGTTAAAAAGACCTGATAAAATCTACCTTTACAGATCCTCAAAACAGATGAAAAAAGAAGTCATGCAAGTTTATTAAAAGGGCTATAAACACAATACTAAATAATCCCAGGGTGATAGTGCCCTTTACAGGGTGTTTTTGTTGGACACGATGACTAGGTGGTGGTACTACTGGGGGAGAAAAGGGGGTAATGCCAGGGCAAAGCCATACAATTTACACCTCCATCCTGGCACATTTTCAAACTCCCTTCCAGAAATTTATATTGGTGAAAAATCTCTTAATACTTATTTGAGCCTGGTACCTAGCTTCATTATACACTTAAACACAATTTTGCATAGTTTAAATACACAACGAATTTTGCTCTTTTGTTTAAAACTTTAAAAGATGAGTTTACCATTTCAGAAAATTATCCTACCAACACAGCACTGCCACTCCTGATACCTGAATCACCAACACAACACATACCTAGCAATCAGCAGGCATTTGTAGGTGCCACATTCACATGATTCTATCTATATACAAATTCTTATTTTGCCCTCACTTCAAAATGTTAAAGAAAAACTGTCAACAATATTCAGATAACTCTTGTCTTACTTCTTTTAAATCCAAACATATTATAAGTAGATCCAAGTATCTGACTACTTCATTATGTCTTCTTGAGTAGTCACGCCCAAATATTCACATATTAAAATGCCTATTTCATTAGGAATTTGTTTCCTTTTTATTTCTCCTTTAAAAACTATTGCATTACACTAACAATCTCTTCCTGCCATACTAATTGAAAGTTCATCCTTCATAATCTTAGATGGTAAAACTATTAAGAAAAACAAGTGGTTACCATAGAAGTCAGTAGTGGTTGGTTTTGCGGGGAAGGAGGAGGTAGTAACCGGGAGAGGACACAAGGAGGGTTTCTGAGCTGCTGGCAAAGTTCTATTTCTTTTACTGAGTGGTAATTACAGGGGTATTTTTAATACTTTTTTTGAACTGAACACATTTTTCCTTTATTGCAAAACAACAGAAGTTAAAAAAAAAGAAAGAAAAAAAGCTGATCCTTGATGTAATTTAAAAAACTGAAAAACACAAGGAAAAGTAGTTTTGATGAGAAAACAAACATCTGAAGCAATTTGGTAGGAAATACTCATGTTTTGAGTACCTCTAAAACGTAATCCCCCATGAATGAGGAAAATCCTTACATCTGCCCAATACAAACGCTTAGTTTAACATTTAGAAAACAATTATTAAGATACTCCATTTTAACATTATCTGATAGTGAAGTATAATATTCACCAATCACAGGCACTGGCAAGCATTAATACATACTTCATATGTCAGTGATGAAACTTCACTGTTTACATGTATTAACATTTTACATAAAGCAAGAAAAGAAAATCCCACACAATACAGGCCACATTTACTTTCACTCTTTTATTGGGGGGAAAAAACACCTACAATCAAAATAACTCTTAAATACATGGCTTCTCCTTTAGTCTCCTCTTAAACAGCTGTAACATTTCCTGCCACTAAGTATTCTATCCTAACTCCACTGCAACTGTCACTGCCAGTAAACCAAAATCCTATTTCCCAGCCCCAAATTCTTACAACCAGACAGAAATCTAACATACAAACGTGGCCCCTGTGTAAACAAGCTTGGGTAGGCGTGGGCAGAATGGGGGGTGAGGGAAGCTCATGGTTTAGGGGACACTGAGCTTCTGTTGAGGGTGATGGAAATTTTTGGAGGTGAACAGTGGTGATAGGTGCACAATGTTATCAACACAATGTCACCAAATTGTACATATAAAGAATACTGAGATGGCAAATGTTATGTTACATACCAATTTACCAGAATGAAAGAGAAAACATTTGGGCATAACTATGTGACATTATGATTGATTTTACTTACTGCCTTATTTAAAGATCTTTTACCCTATAGTAAAGATGGGAGACAACATTCAATCCTAAACTATCACAACCTTTTTTTGACATTTTGTACATATCCACCTTAAATATTTTAGGAAGGAGCCTCGGTGGTGCAATGGTTAACCGCTCAACTGCGAACAGGTTGGCGGTTTGAACCCACCCAGTGGCTCCACAGAAGAAAGACCTGGCGATTTGCTCCCATAAAAATTACAGCCTAGAAAGCCCTACAGGGTAGTTCTATAGTCACATAGGGTTACTGAGCAGAAATCGACTCTACGGCACCTACCAACAACAACAAACATTTTAGGAATATTTTTAAGGCATTTTGATGCATACACTAAA